TTTGCATTATGTCATGTGTGTACCCATTCTCAACCACCACCTGGACATACAGTCGCATATGTGCCACGTGAGCATACACCTAAGTACGTACCTACATAGTACACTTAATTAATCACCCGCAAAAAAATAGTACACTTAATTATCGCATGCATGCATCACTAGCAAGCTATCGTGCATGCAGTACGTTTTACAGTGTGGACCGTAAATACGTACCAGGGATGAGGCGCCGGAGTAGTAGGGGGCGTTGCCGGCGGCTGGGTTACCCGGGTTGTTTCCCGGGGTTGTGGCGTCGTCGAGGCGGTACACGTGCATAATCCAGTCGGACTTGTGGCCGTGCGGGGCGCGGCCCTTGTAGAAGACGAGGGTCTTGCGCATGCCGATGCGGCTGGAGCCGGCGGCAGAGTAGATGGCCTTGTCCCGGCCGGTGGCCTTCCACAACCCGGCGGCCGTGGCGCGGTTGGTGCGCGTCCCCGTTGGATATTTCTTGTTCTTGTGGCTGAACAGGTACCAGTCGTTCTGCGGGCCTGTTCCGATCCGGCAGAGCTCTGCATGAAGTATTCCATGGCCAATTAGTTCACCATACATACATGAGTACCAACATGATATGCATACTTGCATTGTGCAATTGCACCGGGACAGTAGACGATGAACGAAGGAACTCATGCACTCACCTTGGATGTCCCATGGCTCGAGCTTGGTGAGGTCGACGTCGCGGATGACGTCCAGGTCCATGCGCTGCGGGGCCACCTTCTTGGTGAGGTAGTAGGTGAGCAGCTCCTCCTCCGTCGGGTGGAACCGGAACCCCGGCGGCACCACCGACTGCCCGTTCACGGAAATGCTCATGATCGAAATGGAGGGGAGACGATGGAGTTGAGTTGAAGGGAATGGAGTTTGTTGCCGGTGATGGGGTACAAGGAAACAACTGCAACGGACGTGGGTGGTTATATATAGCTACTGATGGGTCGAGCAAGCACACTGGCTCGGCCACAGCTCTAGCTCCAGCTAGCTAGGTAGGGGAAGTGCCACCAACCTTGATAGGGAAACGCCAAGACGACAGTAGTCCCTGCCGGCAAGGGGAAGAGAGAGTGAGAAGAGGAAGGGGGCCCGGAAAGGAGAGAGGACACGCAACCTTAAAAATCTCCACGAAAACCACACCCAAAACCGAACTGATCCCCTCTGCGTCATCTCCAGCGCCGGGCAAAATCATCAGGCATCACAGCATGACATGGCCACCGTAACCGGAAGAAAATTTCGTGGACACCGGCTGCAACGCCCATCCTGTGCGTACCCCTGCCCAGATTCGTCCACGTGTCCCCTCCTTACATCCGACCGCCGCCGTTCGTTCCGATCCGTTCGCTCCTTCCGTCGGCTCGGGAGTGCTCGCTCAGCTCCAAATACGTGCGATCCCGGCTCCCTGGGCTCCGCTCGGCTGCAAAAACTGCAGGCAATCAGCTCCCGTCGTTATGCCTTTTCAATTAGATACGCATACTTGTGATTGATAGCATCTGCTTCCCTTGAATAGCGGCGATCTGATCATGGCAGATGAGACTGGTGGTGGCCGAGGGAACCCTGGTCCGGCACTCACTCCGTCGGGGGAGAGCACAACTATGTTTGCCTCACGCCCAAACGCATCATCATCCTCTCCTTCGCATGGCCGCATCAGCCTAGAAGGATATTCATGGCCGCCACAGTTTGAAGCTGCAGTACCGTCGAGAAGGACGGGAGCGGCCATGACGGACCACGGTGGCACTGCCGACGACTTGTCCCGCATAAATCTCGCAGATGAGAATGGTTGTGCACACGCCATGAACTTGCAGGCCCCACACGTCATGTCAGGAGGAGGAGTCCGGGAGGATACGACCACCGCCATGAAGAAGGAGGTCAGCAGGACGACGGGGTCGCCGGTGTAGAGCAAAGAATGCAGGTACGGGTTGAAAAGCGATATCCTATTCAGACAGTCGGCATAAGATCATCGTACTCTAGTACTGTGCTATGCACTGATTACTTGGCAAATGACTGCTCAAAATTAATATGTGTTCTTCAGTAAGCTTAGGAAAACAAATTCACAAAGTGCATGAGAAAAACATTTTCCCACATCACATTATGGTAATATAAATTTAACTCTGGACTCATTGTATGGCAGGCGATTGATAAAGTTGGACAAACGTTGATTGTTCCAAAAGTTGGATTGGCTTTCGATTCAGAGGACAGCGCTTATGATATGTACAACGTATATGCCGCCAAGGTTGGGTTCAGTGTCAGAAAAAGTCACACAAAGCGACGAGGTGATAAAAGTATATCTCAAAAATATATAGTTTGCAGTAACGAAGGCCATCGAGATACCCAATCATCTAAGGACACTACAAGGACATGTTGTGAGGCTCGTATTCAGTTTAGTGTCAACAAGGATGGTATTTGGACAGTGCAAAAGCTTATAACCGAGCACAATCATTATCTTGCTAGTCCCAATAAGGTGCACAAGCTGAGGTCCCAAAGACGTGTTATAGAAGCGGATAGACATCTAATTGGCCAGATACGGGAAGCCGGGATGAAGCCATCCCAGGTATATGACTTTATGGTAGTATTTTACGGAGGACCCGACAAAGTACCATTCTCAAAGATGGACTGCAATAATGAGATTGGTCGCGAACGCAAGAAGTATTTAGAATCAAATGATGCACAGACACTGTTGGAATACTTGAAAAATAAGCAAAGAGAGGATCCTACATTTTTTATGCCATTCAGATAGATCAAGTTGATGACCAGATAGCTAATTTCTTTTGGGCAGATGGTCAGTCTATCATGGATTACACATGTTTTGGAGATGTTGTATCATTTGATACCACTTTTCAGACTAACAAGTTTGAAATGCCTTTTGCTCCATTCGTTGGTACCAACCATCACAAGCAGACAGTAATTTTTGGTGCCGCGCTGATATTTAATGAGAGTATCGATTCATTTGTTTGGCTCTTTGAAACATTTTTAACAGCGATGTCAGGCAAGCATCCGAGCACTATTTTCACTGATCAGGACAAGGCCATGGACGGAGCAATTGCATATGTGTTCCCAAATACAAGTCATCGGCTTTGTTTGTGGCACATTTATCTTAATGCTGCAAAACATCATGGGCATGTAATTCATGAGCATCCTGAGAAGTTTTTACCTGATTTTAAGAAATGTGTCTATGAAGATAGGTCAGAATTTTACTTCAATAAAAAATGGTTTGAATTGTTGGATCAATACAACCTTGAGGACAATAAATGGATGAAAAAGTTGTATGAGTTGAGGGAAAAGTGGGCTGCTGTCTATCGTGACTCCTTTACAGCTGATATGAACTCGACTCAAAGGAGTGAAGGTATGAATAATGTATTCAAGCAAAGATTTCGTAGGAGACTTGGTCTTTCAGAACTCCTTGTAGAATGTGAGAAGGTTTCTAGAAGTCTTCGTGAAAATGAGTTGGATGCAGATTTTAGTTCGCGTCGAAAGAAACCTGTTGCTTACAGTCCAAATTTTCCTTTGCTAAAGACCGCATCTGAATCATATACAAGGCGGATGTATTCAGAATTTGAAACGGAATTCAAAAGCCAATTTTCATTCTCTTGTAAACTATTACAAACCGACGGTCCGGTGTTGACATATATGGTCACACATATGAACAGCGAGCATGGAGCAAAAGTTACATTCAATACCACGGACACAACTATTACATGTTGTTGCAGAAAGTTCGAATCCATAGGTATATATACAGAATTTATGATGCAATTTGCTATGTAATACAACTTGATGAAATATGACATCCATATCTTGCAGGTATATTGTGCAAGCATGCATTCAAAGTCTTCAATATGAATGATGTTTTCATTTTGCCACCACAATATATACTAGGAAGATGGACAAAATATGCGAAAAGAGGATTTTATGTTGAAAAACAAGGATCCGAGGAGGAAAGCTTGAAAACACAAGCTGCACGTATCTCAAGGAAGGCTACATCAGTTGCATTGAAGTGTACTCGGTCAAGACAACTTCTTGATGATTTCGAGAAAGCTATAGATAAGTTAGACTTGGAAGCAGATAACACTCTTAGCAAGATGGAGGAAAAATCCAGTGAGGTTCCGCTAGTTTCGGCTGAGTGTGCTACAAACACAATAAATGGTACAATATCATTTAGAGTTCCTCAGGTGGTGAAAGGCGCAAAGCGTAAAGGGCAACCATCTCCCTCGAAAAAAAGAAATGGAAGAAAAATAAAGTGCTAAAAAGAAAGGTACCGATCCTACCCATTCTAGCAAGCCTTTTCCATTCTATACTTCTATTGTTAATCCTTTTACTTTTCTTTCAGTTCATATGTCTGACTTTAGGAGAAAATCGAAAAAATGTAGTACAAAATAGGGATGGCGGCATTGATCCGAAGGAAATGATGGTAAACCATTTGACTCAGAATCAGTATCCCCTTTTCATATTTGACTTGCATGTTTTATGAACAATTTCATATTCTATGATACAGGATGTGAATGCTGGTAGTATTGACATTACTAATACCATGCCAAAATTTTCAAATGATGTCTATGGGCGAGGGCGATCTTCGATCATGGCTGCACCGTTGATCCAAGGCAGATACGCTAATGCCACAATGCTAACATTTGCAAATGATGTGTATGGGCAACCTTCAACCATGTCTGCTCCATCTATCCAAGGCGGATTTACAAGTCTTTTACTTGGGGTTGAGCAGGATGCCACATTGTCCTCGGCTGCTAGAAAGTTACCTTTTGATGATTAGTATTACGGGCAGCCTATAAGGAGTACAATTTTTTTAATGTCATTTGGTGTATCTATGAATTATAATTGATGCACTGTAGTAGACTGAATTTTGTCTTCATTTAGAATGTTTGGGTATAATTTTGTGCTACACTGAGTATGGTTTTTCATCATTTCTGGATTTCTGTGAGATTGCATTGATTATGCGACAGAATGTGTTAAGTGTTAAATCTTCAAGGCCGAGCACCTGCAATAGTTTTAGATTTCCAGACCTCTGATTTAAATCTTCGAGGTCGAGCACCTCATTCATATATATCTTAGATGAAAAAAGATACAATGTACAACTTTTACATTATAGTTGGAAATTGTCAGAGAGAGCAATCAGCTATATACTAGTACACGATTTGTCACGAAGTCTACTCCAGATTTGTAATATCTCAAAATCCTACTTTTAAGTCTACTCATCAGGAATTATTGATGTTGTTTCCATGGCGTCAGTTGTCTTGTTCCAGCGGTGTACTTCGGGGTCTTCGTCCAGTAGAATGATGGCGAAGCATGACTGTTGCATGAGTAGGTGACCTCCTGTTTGCTCTTTGTTCCCTTTTCTACCATCTTAGCTAGTTGGACCAGGGGGAATCCTTGCCAATTTGAAAACTTCTCTTTCACGACTGCAAAGACATGCACAAATCGCATTGAATTATTAGCATGTGAGTTTGGTCAGATAGTTGTTAGACGTATAGCAAAATAATGTACAGTTCATCCTCCTGTAAGATAAACACCCTTCGGTCTGAAACTACACTTTCTTTACTCTGAAACTAGTGATGCAATTGATTTTGTAGCTCGACTGAGCGAATCAAACAATCCGATCAAGTACGAGCTTGCTAGGTTGCACTTCGGTCGTCCCAGTTTAATCAAAATATGTGATTAACATGTGGTCGTGTACGATTAGCAAATCAAACCTCTTACCTGAAGGAGCTAATTGCATGCTAACAGCCAAAAGGAAACACAAACTTTCAGACTTGCAAGGGAGGGGGTCACCAGTTCTGAACTGGGCGAGATGGAGGTGCGCGTGGGGGAGTGAGAGGCCGGCG